CTCGATAACCAAGACTATTTAAAAGCCTTTAATCAAAAATGGCGTAAACGGTTGCATAAGTCACAAGCTGAAAAAGATAGCATGTTTCCATCGTCTGAAGGAACGGAAGTTAAAAATTATCCGCCTACAGCATTTATCCCGAGCCCTAATGCTCATCCTTCATATGTGCTTAAGACACTGAAGCGTAAGGAACGTCCAGTCGACTACCACGGATCTACTGGACCTAAGCCTAAAACTCACAGGGTAACCAAAAATGCTTAACTTCTCCGCCTGAGAAACATTAACTATATGTTATGCTACTTAATGTTTCGTCTCGTATTTCCTGTCTCGCTTTTTGACCCATAATCAGCTTGAGTGAGCAACTTGCTTCTCTTGGGTCTCAAAGCTGGGTGGGGTCTGTGTAATAAGCCGGGCCTCCACATTAGACTCTATGTATAAACGTACTCTTAAGCAGTACGCAAATTATAAATGTATTCTTAATAGTACGAGGAACTTAAGTTTCCTAAATGTACTGTTAATAGTACGAGGAACTTAAGTTTCCTAAATGTGCTCTTAATAGCACGAGGAATTTAAGTTTCCAAAAATGTGTTTTTAATGGTTTTATTAATTAAACCTTTTCCATTTAACATATCAGATATTTGGATGAGGCAATTAAAAGGCCTCAGTAAAATACCAAACATAAAAGAGCTGGTCTAGTTCTATTAATAGAGTTTTATTTACTTTCCAATTTTATTAATATCTGAATACTTTGGTAGCGAGATGGCTCAACCGAATATAGGTTTCTAGAGACTATTAACGCTACCTAGTTGATCCTCCGATAAGCCAACCAGATGTGCCAGTCTGATGAAGGCTATGTCGGTAATTCTTGATAGGGATAATATTATTTATTTCAAAAATGGCAAGTATGTTTGATACAATGTATGAACATATGATATGCCTCTCATAGTCGCTGTAGTGGTTCAGGAAAGGTTGAGGGGAAGAAGTGGTCAGTAAATTCCCGTTCAAAACCCGGTGTTGACAAAATACTGTTACTATCGAATGTTCCACATATTCGCTTGCTGACTTACTAAGTAGAGTACCCACCTCTGTGGTACGGATCGGGTCTGCGCCGTGTAGTGCCGCGGAATGGGTTAGTGCAGAGTACGAAATACCGAGAAGGGCCTGGTTATCCGTCATATCCGGTCGAGAAGCGAGGATGGGGGTAAGCCATATGTTCATACATTGTATCATACATACTTGCCATTTTTGAAATAAATAATATTATCCCTATACCACAAAAGCACAGCCAAACATAGTAATTTAAAAATGACAGCACAGTATGTATTTCAAAATATAAATAACAAATATAATATATACGCGCACAGCTTATATATATATTTTTAAATATTATATTTACAACCATCATGTAGAGCGCAACTGAACGCTAAACCCTGCGAGGACCGGCAATATTTAAATATATCCTAATCCATAACATTCACATTTATATATATAATTACACTATTTTTATAAGTAATTTTTGGAGTTTTGTTTTTAAAAAACAAAACAATGAAGTTGCAGAAAAGGGTCTAAATAACACAGGGATTTCCCCCCTGAATTGTTGAACAAGAAGTATTTATGCGACGAGAGGGGATTGTGACATTTCGCCTTCATTGTTGTCTGAGGGGGTTCCCCAGCTCTGATAGCCTTCTTGACTTCTTCAAAAGCTCTACATTTTAAAATCTTATTTCAAATTTATCAGAAAATAGTAAAATACTCATTTTGTTTTTGATTGATATTTTTCTTAAGAATAGAGTATTCAATTATTCACTATTTATTTTGGGTGAATTTTCCCTGATAGATATTTGGATACCTTTGTTCATTCAGAATCAATTTTTTTACTATGGGCTGAGGAAACATGGATTTAAACTTTTTTTAAAGCTGACCACGCCGGTGATGACAAGATTTCTTAAAAAGCTGGTTGAATTCTGCGTTATAAAAGATAAGAGACTTGAGACTCTATTATCTATTTAAAACTATAATATCGATCAATATTATTGTAGATAATACGAGATATGAATGGTTTAACCAATACGATACAGATATAGTCTTTGAATGCTGTTCATATCGTATATACTTCGGCCAAGATGTACTATAAGCCCATGATAAATAAGTTAATATAATAATACTGTTTCATAGGGCCACTTATTTTTAGATTCACTTTTCCATTTATTTTTGAAAATATGTTTTTTATAAATAAACATTTGCAATAAATCATAAATGGCTCACACTGGATTGCCATTACTATTGGAGTCTGTGAAAAATTGCTTCTGACTGGTACTCTCTCATTAGAGTTCAAACTCTGCCACTCTCGCGGTGACTGGAGTTCCTCTCGGATTTCGGAGAGCAAGTTATTTTTCAAGAGATATTTTTTCACAGTTCATATTCATTTTCAATAACTTCTATTAGTATTATCATTCTTGTATTTAGTGTAATTTTTATATTTATATATATATTTTTATTTATAATTACATATTTATATATTTAGTGAATAGTCTTTTGGGGGGTTCCTCTTTCCTTTGTTATTTTAATAAAAAAACCCCTTATTTTTGAGTACTACTATTTTTTCAGAGGTTATGTTTATACTAAAACAAATGCAAGTTTTTATATATTGTTCAATTTTCAGTGGCTATGTTTATATATACTTATATATTGTAAATGCTTTACATTGTTGAATGTTGACACTTGACCAAATTGACCTTCTGGCTTCTGGACTATGTAGTAGACACTACTACTTAAGTAGAGAGTAGTAGCAGTAGCGGACAATTCGTGACTCCACTTCTATTGTGACTGTTGAGAGTAATTTGTTTTTTTGTTTTTTTAAATAATATAATAGACTTGTTGAGAATTGTAGGTTGAGAATTGAGACTTGATAAGACTTGAGACTGGAGTTGGCCTCAGCCGCAGCGGTCAACCTTGAGTGGGCTGAGCGCCTGAGCCTCTGCGTCCTGAGCCCTGAGGGCTGAGGGCTTAGGCCTTGAGGCCCTTGGACCTGGGTGGCTGGGTCTCATGAATGTTTTGTGTTCACATTCACAGTTCACACTGCACACTTCACAGTACTGTGAGTCTGTGAACCAGAAACAACGGGGAGGGGACGAGGGGTTGACCGAGGGGGTTTTTTCAAGAATTTTATTGTTTTTTATTGTTTTTTTAAAACAAAACAAGAACAAAAACCAATGTTTTTTTTGAGCATATAAAATGAAGCACATACAAACAATATTGTTGTGACCAACAATAATGTTGTGTATAAAGGCTAAGAAATCTTATATTGTACGCCGTATAATATATTTGTATGTAAATATAAATATATAATTCTTCAAAAGTTTGATCAAAACATCTATCAATATGTCGCAAAAGGTAGTGACAACGTTCTTACAGCATGCAATCGCCCGATTTGAGGTCGATCAACAAGATAGAAATTTGGAATCGCTCGCACGTGAAATACTTGAGCCGATTCTACCAGATGAAGGCGAAGAGGAGTTTGCCTCCCGTACACAATTAACGATACAAAGAGATCAGCTTTCAAACGTTAGGTTACAAATAGATGGGTGTGCCCGAGAATATCTCATGTCGCAGTTAACCAGTGGGGAACGGGAGAAGTCATCAGAGATGCATCGGACGGTTAAAGAGCTAAAGAATATTGCCGGGGTTGATTCTATGGAGTGTATCCGCATGAAAATTGCCAACTCCCACATGAAAGAAAACGCTAGTGTGCACCAAACCGGACCTCATTCAATGGAGTGTATTCGCATGAAGATTTCCAATTCTCGTACAGGAATGGACGCTGCTATAGATCAACCCGAAGTTGGTTCGGTGGAGTGTTTCCGAATGAAGGTTGCCAACTCTCGCGTGAAAGAGTACAATATCGTACACAAACCAATACGGTTGGAGCAGACTGTTTGCCTGCCAAGAAAAGTTGAAGCATGTGTCTTGGACTGTTCGAAAAGCCCCACCCAGACACTTTCGGACGGAGCACACAAATACCCCATGGACTCAACAGTGCCTTTGGAGAATACCCTGGAATTTGTCAAACAGCGAAATAAGAACGCTAAGTTGCAGGCCGTGATAAAGAAAATCAGGGGATCCTTTGTTAAAGACGGTGGTCGAAACAAGAGAAATCGCAGACGAGTAAGCCTTCCTGCGCCTTCTTGGAACGTTTTTGGAGAGTCTTTGAAAGGAAGGGCCAGCGTAGATATGCTCAGCGTAGATGTTTAAAGGGTACACCTCTGACCAATATGTAAAAAGTTGAAATTAGGTAAGATATCCAAGCACGAACAGAGCTTTTATCATAGTTTTGAATAAAGTCACTTACTCACGGCTATGTTTTGCTCTATATTCAGTGTAACTTAGGTCTCACTGGGGTCTGTTGCTATCCTGCCCTTTTCCATTGCTATTTATTTTCTGGATTCGTTTTGTGTTTATTACAAATTTTGAAGCATTCGGGGCTTGATAAAGGCATTATGTAACGCCATAATGTTCGTGATCTTCCTCTGTATTCATCCACATCTGTCCTCATTGAATTGCATCATATCTCGTATACATGCGCTCGCCGCTCATATATATATTATGTCGTACATCTTAAACACACGAAATAAATGTACACCCTGAAGTGATAGGCCAATCGTAGATGTAGAAATTTATATTTCTTGCACGCTTCGCCCCGCAAACATCAGCATACGAGCATACACATTTACAACTATTAATAAGCAATTATTGGAGCGGCCCGACAATAGTCGCTCAACAGCCTGCGCATTAGTGTGTACAACAAATGTTTCAGTGATATAGGCATGGAGTCCAGGCTCTGTGAATGATGTCCGTAATTGTGCCTTATAGACACTGTAAAACATACATCTGCGTATCTGAATGCACTATAGAAATATCTTTCTAGGGCATGATGCTCCGCAGCGTGATTGATACCACTGTTGTTAAAGCAGCAGAGCATTCCAGGAAGATTTTGTTGTTGTTGATAATCTAGCAGACATCGTCACAATCTGTGCTCTCGATCGCCTCACTATGTGTTATTGTCTAACGAGCAAAACCCTATCATGAGGTGATCTCTATTGAAATCGATACAGCCGTGCGTGAGTGAACAAGGGCAGTGCACATTCATTGGGCATACAAACTAGAAGCCGCGAGCTCGGAAGACTATCAATCACCCGTCTGTCAAAAAGTCATCGGATCATTCAAACCCATCGATAAGTCTAGTATTTGAGCACACCAGTGAACCGTCATCGAATAGGCTTACATTGTGCACACCGATGTACCGCCAGTGGATGTGGTTGGGTGAATCGATACATTATACAATCGCCATAGTAAAAACCATGTGTACAGGAGTCAGTAGTACTCGTGTACAGTATATATGTAATCAAAAGAATATACGATCAGCCTTTTGTACATCCTATCCTGCTGGCTCGTGTGAAGTATGAGGTTGTTGCCATTGATATGTCATATTTGGCAATTACTGACAATTATACAATGTCACCTACAGGCACCTATTAAACACGGAATCAGACCAATCTGATTCTACAGTCCGCATACGCTATCACACGATACTTCTTCCTTATTCCACAATCTGAACCAACGCTGTTGAGCAGTATCCTTACCATATATACCTAGTAGCACTGATGAAGTGAGATAACCATGGCAATGATGTGTCAAACACACAAACTCTGAAACAGTTTACAAACTACTTTAGCTGCGGCAAGCACTAGACAGCGACGATCGTAATCACAAAGGAATAACAAGGTGATTGGCTTACGCGCTAGCAAACATCCTATGGCATCGTATGACTGGGTACAACTCTGCGTTGGCAGGGGCATTCTATTTGATATAGAACAATTATCAAAGTACATGGTCATTGCATTGATCGTTCCAAATATATCTTTTAAATACTATAAATTTATTCACGTATAACTTGTACTAATATTTTCATTTATATATATAAACTTTATACTAGTTTGTTCACGTATAACTATATACTAGTTTGTTCATATAAAACTGTATACTAATTTGTTCATGTATATATATAAACTTTATACTAATTTGTTTATGTATATCTAGATACTAATTTGTTCATGTAAAACTGTATACTAATTTGTTCATGGATATATTTAAGCTTTATACTAATTTGTTCGTGTAAATATAACTGTATACTAATTTATTCATGTATATATGTACACTTTATACTAATTTGTTCATTTACAACTATATATTAATTTGTTCATGTATAACTGTATACTTATTTGTTCACATAATTTTATACTAATTTCTTCATGTATAACTTAATACTAATTTATTTCCATAACCCACGCCTGCAGATTAGGTTCCTCATCCATCCTTGCCCACTCTATCCGTCCGTGCCTCTACGAAAACCATCGACTGCTAGCATCCTTCTTTAGTACCGAACCTCCAGACGCGGGTGTTTCACCAAACAGCTTCTGCTTGTAGGATTGCACCAGCGTGTCTAGTTTGGCCTCGTTCCTCTGTGCCGCTTGTCGTGTCTTGCTATCGCGCTTTGCCTTCTTGCTGACGGGTTTTTGGGTTTGCGCCTGCCAAATAAGGAAATAGTCGCATGAGTACGGGGAGGATAGGGCTGCAGTCGGATCAGATTTCACGGCATGTCTATACGTATACATAACTCTAGAACTCTAAAATCCTTATTAGTACTCTTCAGGTCATGCGGCTTATGGACTGTTTGCTACTAGTCACTACTACTGCTTAGAGCATCTGCTGGTGACTCCAGAGGTACAACGCAGACACTCGGAAAATGTCGTTTGGTGACAATCAGAGGGTTTAGGGTTTAGGATTATAGGAGTGTTTTATATGGTGGTGCATGTCTATGGCATCTGTGGGGCCTGAGAGGGGCAGGTGATATACATCCTAAGTACAAAAGAGGCATATAACTAAATACAGTGCGTAATACACACGATACGATTATTCGTCTATCCACGCTTTCCTGTACCAACCACCCCCTCACCTCAGTCAGGAAGGCGTCCTTATTATAGTCACTACTACGCACACACCAACAACAACAACAACAACCCAACCACACACCCACCACTACACATATACCAACTATCCCCTCACCTCAGTCAGGAAGACGTCCTTATTATAGTCACTACTACGCACATACCAACAACAACAACCCTCCCACACACCCACCACTACACATATTCCAACCACCCCCTCACCTCAGTCAGGAAGGCGTCCTTGCCATGGTCTCTGGATGGTTTTGCCCCGTCGTCTCTGGCCCGTTTGTTGTTTACCTTGCTGCCTCCTTCACTGTGTACTCGACTGCGCTTATTACCTTGCGCGTGTGCGTGCGTGTTCATAGCTGTGCCTGTGGCGGGTGCTGTGTGTGTGTTGGGGGCACTACCTTGGCGCTGAGCGCGTTTGGACTGTCTGGCTGCTTGACGTTTGAGAATAAAGTCTTTAAAGGAAGTTCGGTCCTTCGGCTCGCGCTGTGGCTTATCTGATGGTGTAGATGAGTGGATGGTAACGATACTGTTAAGCATGGGAGATAGGCGGTAGCTATACACACATACGCGTGCACACGTAAGGGCATAACTTATACATATACATGGACCCACACTGCTTATACATATACATGGACACGCACTGCTTATACATATACAGAGGGGTGTGTGTATATACAGAGATATGCATGCCTGTCTTATCTACACATGGTCTGTAAGGTGTGTCAGAGGATGTTGGCTATGCCTCTTCCACTATTACTTAACCTGTGGCGTGAGATCCGAGGTGAGGCGGTTGAGGATATAACACGCCACAAGACAGATGGACGGTGTTACGTACCACGAACGACAGCTATGTGCAAGCACCACCACCTACAACATACTGTGGGATGGACTCCATCTAATCCCAATGCCGTGACCACCGTGTCGTATGTTATGCGCATGAGGTCCACGCAGGTCTTATCATCACCGCCTCAGTAAAACCCTTAACTCTAACGCTCCTGCAGTTAATACAACACACAACACACATCTAAGCGCATAACAACCATATATACCTGCCCAACACCCCGCACACGGACACATGCGCATGCACGTACATACCATTGGTGTCCTGAGGTGCCTTGCCAGCGTCTTCCAACTGCTTCGCCTTGCGCTCCTCCAACACACGCACCTTGTCTATGTTCTCAACCGCAAACTCGACTATCAAGCGCTTCTTCTGCGAGTACAGCTGTGGGTTGTTGTTGGTGGCTCGTAAGGCGGCTAGCGCATACTCGTGCGAGTAGAGCTCCACAAACGCCCACCCCAGTGACCGCCCGATGGTCTGTCCTGTTACGTTCTCTTTGTTGCGCATGAGGTTAAGCTTCTTGACGATTCTCTGTGGTGGGCGAGGGTGTGGGTGAGTGAGCGATTGCGCGAGGATACGTATATATATATATATATGTGTGGGTTGGATGCGATGGGATGATGCGAGCAAATGTGTGCGTAAGTGTGCATTTATGCATTGGGAATGGGCGTTTGGGGATGCAGTTCATGGGACTCCACAGTAATAACCCTAAAGTTTAAAACCTTGTATGTAATATATATATATATACTTGTTATGATGCATATATACATAATAAAAGCTAACGCCCTAACGTTACAAAAAAAAATAATATATATATATATAGTACTTTCTATGCATACATACAGATATTCATCAATATATATATATACATACACATACAGATGTCAAAACCCCCTAAAGCCCTAAACCTCGATCAATGAAGCGCCTGAAGAATTGGAGCGTGAAAATCTTTTGTGTTCGCATGACAGTTAAATTCATAGCATGATGTTCGGTACTATTTGTCATGCAGTATGTTAATACAAGCCTTGAGTGTCCATCTACACTTGTACGTAGGATTCAGGGTCTAGGGTTCAGGAATTAGAGTTTAGGGTTCAGAATTGCCTAGCAACTGCATACCCTTGGTTGCGCTGAGGGATCTGCGGCGATCACAGCTTCGTCGAACACTTTGGTCAGCTCGTGCTCATCTATTTTGGGGGGAATGTTCCGGACCACCAAACGCACCGGTGACACGAAGTATCTAAAAATAGAATGAGAGTAGGGTTTATTAATATGCTGGATTGCGAAAGGGAGTATGGAACTCCTCGAGTGAACAAAATACACAAAGGAAAGCAGACAGGCACGACCAGCTGCAATGCTATATATTCATCCCTACACACACACATATATACTATATGTATATATATATACACACATACATAGCCTCATATACATAGCACATACACCCCCCCATCCCTAGCCTCGTGCACGTACCTGGTGTCCTTGAGCTTGGCGTACTTCTCCTTGTCCGCCTTCTGTCGCCTGATGACGTCCTCTGGTGAGACGTTGGATGCGGCTGCAACGTCTTTGCTGATGTAACCTTCGCGTGCCAGTCGCATGTTGCGGTTGTCGCTCTTTAGATTAGCATCGTCGCCCTTTTGTTGCTGTGGTGGTATTGTGCAAGGGGTGTTGAGTGTGTGCATTTGTTCAGAGGGGGTAGTTGGTGTTTGTATGGTGTGTGCATTCGTTCAGAGGGGGGTAGTTGGTGTTTGTTGAGTGTGGGCATTCGTTCAGAAGGGGTAGTTGGTGTTTGTTGAGTGTGGGCATTCGTTCAGAGGGGGTAGTTGGTGTTTGTTGCGTGTGAGTGGATAGGCATGCATAGAATGATATATGAGGGTAAGCAAGACGAAGCCAACCCAAATGAACAGTAGACGCCACGGGACAGCTGACGGGCAAACGAGGCACTTGCTGGTGGTAGGTAGGTGCTGCTGGGTTTAGGGTTTTAAGGTTAAAACAGTAAAACTTCAAAACCCTACGACCCATAACACACCCCCATATAACCCACTACATACCACGACACAGAAAATAAACGACACATTAGAAACAGCCAGCCACACTGCGATGACAGGTGCTATAGCCAGACGCACCTATGCTCACACACATGTTACACACATCACACACACGCTACATACACATCACACACACACACACACTACATACACATCACACACACGCGCGCGCTACAAACACATCACACACACACTACATACACATCGCATACACGCGCGATGCATACACATCACATGCATCCCAGCACTCACCTGTTCGAGCTTAGTGGCCTGTTGTCGGTCCACCGCCAGAGTGATGTTTAGTGAGCGACCCTGAATCTGCACACCACCATCACTCACTGTACTCGCCTTACCATTCTTACCACCGGAGAACACCTAATTAAGGTTCAGGGGTTTATAGTTTAGTAAACAAAGTGATGGGCTGGGGTAGATAAATATATGTGTGAATAAGACTTGCACAGCCACGCACTGAGGAAGCAGATGAGGTATATGCATTCTATCTGAACTATATATTCAAACCAATACGTACACATTTATGTGTATATGTACCACAGGCACATATGTATACATGCACACGTGACTATACCTGAGCTGTGACGGCCTTCTGCGCCTCTCTGATAACCAAGCTTGCGCTGGTGGGGTCACTAAACTTAACGAAAGCGGTGCCTTTGGGCCGTTGTGTTTCACGATCCACCACCAGTTTACACATCTTGATTTGTCCGTAGGCTATTTCGTATGGAGAATGAGAAGGCAATGGGACAGGATTAGGCCAATGCAATTGATATAGGACAAACAAATTGGGTTCGAATGATATATATATATACCATCTTTATACAGATACACACGTGGTACATGCAAGCAAAAGTAGAATAGTCCTAGATCATTCTGGATGATGTTCACGGCGCATTAATGTCATAAACCCAGCACACACACACACACAGAGACACACACACACACACGCACGCATTGACCACCACCCATGTGCACATGACCTACCCGAGAGTACCATGCGCAAATCGCTTTCTGATGCGGTGAAGGGCACATTACGCACAAACAAAGTGCACATCTCTGCCACATCGTCCGTTCGTTGTGGTTTGACGTTCTGTGTCGTGGGCTTCGCTGTGTCTTTGTCGTCGTCGCTGTCGCCGGAGTCTTCTTCACTGCCACTCTCTGCGCCAATGAGAAGCGAGTGTTGGTTATAGCACATATTGTACGCCAATAGGATTAAGAGATACAGATACAACATATTCTACACTGATGGGATCCGGATTAATGAAATCTCACTGGACTGTCTTGCCAATCACACGAAGGCACTAAACGAAAGTCATAGCACACACACGTGGCTGTCTAAGTTGAGTGACCATTCGACAGCCTCACGTATTCACGTAACAAGTACAACCCACACGTACGTGACGAAACGGAACACACATACACACCTGAGTGCATATACAACACACTCATACACCTCATCCTAAAGCACACACACACACCTGAGTGCATATACAACACACACATACACCTCAGGCTAAAGCACACACACACACCTGAGTGTGTTATAACACACATCCTGTTCCCCTTCGTATTACCTACCTGCATCGTCGTCATCTGATGATCCCTCACTGGCACTACCAACGTCACTTTCTGCGTCGCTGTGCGCGCTTTCGTTTGTGTCTTGCTCTTCTTCTACCACACCCTGGCCACTCTCCTGTGCGTCTTTAGCCTACGCAGTCATATGAGCGGGACAGTAACATCTGGGTAAGTATGAGGACAACCATAACACACCACAGCACACATCATCAATACCATCTATGTAAGTATAACGACAACCATGACACACACCACAGCTCACACCATCTTTGTAAGTATAAAGACAACCATGACACACACCACAGCACACACCATCAATAGCATCTATGTGAGTGTAAAGACAACCATGACACACACCACAGCACACACCATCAATACCATATATGTAATTATGAAGACAACCATAACACACACCACAGCACACACCTTTATTACCATCTATGTAAGTAGACAACCATAACACACACCACAGCACACACCATCAATACCATCTATGTAAGTATAACGACAACCATAACACACCACAGCACACACCTTCTTGTAGTCGTCTGTGGGTAATACAAAATCAACAGCCACTACGCGGTTCTTGATCTTCTGCCCGTTGAGTGTCTCAACGGCCTTCAGTGCGTCTGCATACGCCGCATACTGCACAAACGCAAACCCTCGGCTGGTGACACCATCGTCCTTAACGGGGATACGGATGTCGAGAATAGGGCCTATGGGAAGGACAAGGCAGTGTCTGATGTGAGTCTGGTTGGACAGGTAGGGTATAGGGTTTTATGTTTGTAATAAGCTTGGATTATATATATGTACATATTATATATATATGAGAAAATACGAAGTGAATAAAGCTTTCGCTTCCGTGTATTACAGCCGATAATCCAGTGCACTATATATGTCTACCCACATTTACACACACATACAGCAAATATGTATACACATGGTGTGTGGTTGTATGATCCACCTGTAGTTTGGAATTTACTTTCCCAGTACATGCAATACTACTTTTATGTTTCTTTACTGCCTTTTGATAATCCAGTACATACAATACTACTTTTATGTTTCTTTACTACTTTTTTTGATAATCCAGTACATACAATACTACTTTTTATGTTTCTTTACTACTTTTATGATAATCCAGTACATACATTACTACTTCCTTCGCACCACACATGTGACAGCCAAAACATTGCCAACCCACCGAGAATTGCAGTAATTGAGCACTCAGTGCTGTCAGCATGTAGTGAACTGGCCAGTGAAAAAGTATATACACTGAAGGTACACATAAACATATACATTTATAAGCCTAAACGCTTATAAATAGATAGGCAGATATACATAACGACACATATATCCACTTACACACGCATTCTCGGAGATATCCACTTGTACGAACAAGCACACACCCACACATACACACGCACTGCTACAGGTGCATGGAGAACACCCCCACAGCAACATACCACACGTTCCAAAGAGATCGTCAAAGTCTTCTTTGGTGGCAGAGAAGGCGACATTACGCACAATCACAAGCGACTTGGCCAAAGTCTTCTTGGTTTGTCTCTGCTCCTGTCTCTGTTTGTCTCTGCTTTTCAGTACCGCCACTAACTGTTGTGTTCAGAAGTCATTGTCTTAGTGTTTGTACGCATGGGATGCACACCTTAGTATATATGAATATATGCCTGAATATTTATAACTATAACTATATATATATACATATTTGAACATATATTTCTACATACACGAACAGAAATATAAACAAGTCTACTCTAATATCCATCTCAGTATTCGATGTTTCTACAGGAAGTCAAACCACCACAATCTGTAACATGCAGCGACGTGTATGTAAAAAATACAAACAACACATTCAAGTGCCCGTCTATGTGTAATATTACCTGCTATACCTACCTTAGACATCTATGTGAGTTATATTACCTGCTATACCTACCTTGGACACCTATACGAGCTATATCACCAGCCATACCTACCTTAGACACCTATATGAGCTATATCACCAGCCATACCTACCTTGGACCCCTTCAAGGTCTGCCCATTGATGTTCACCATTGACCGGTGTGCCAGTTGGGCATCTGGGAATACTATCACTGCTGTCATCGTCTGCTCCTCCTCTTCTGTTGGGAAGTGGTACTCAAACGTTTCGATCCGCTGCAACCAGACCCATGAGAGACGTTAGCCTGGCGAATACCATCCTGTGCTTATACGTACATAGTCTTATACGTACATAGTCTAATACGTACATAGTCTTATACGTATATAGTCGTATACGT